AGATGATGCGATGGACAGATGGATAAAGAAATGAAGTGAAGGTACAGGCACTGAGTGAGAGGAAGCAATGTCAGGAAGTAAAGATGGATGGGTGGATGGAAGGAGGAATAAACAGAAGAATGAATGGAGTTGGATGAGGCGTGAGTGGATGGATGGATGGATGGACGGATGGATGGATGGATGGATGGATGGATGGATGGATGGACAGATGGGTAAATGGATGCATGCGTGGATGGATAGAAGGATAAATGGGTGGACAAATGGATGGATGGACATACGGGTAGATGAATGGAGGAATGAATAGATGATTGGAAGAATGGACGGATGAATAAATGGAGCCAAGAGAGGTCAAGTAAGGGAAGAAGTGAAGTTTAAAAAAATGAGCACAAATAAAGAGGGAAAAAAGAATCAACAGTACCCGTGGTGAATATAGGCTGAATAAGACACTTTCTTTCTAAATATCTGGTTTGTTATTTATTTTTATTTCAGCCACTTGATAGTCACATTGCTGGGATCATTCCAGAAAATGTCCTTCCTTCTGTCTGTGGTCAGATAGGATTGTAGGGGTGGAGAGATGGTGACCTTTTCTCCTTCTTCATGTTTTATACGCTCTTTCTTCTCCTTCTAAATCTCACCTTGCACCTTTTAAAATGTGGCCTTTGTTTCTTGTTTCAGCAAGTCAACTGCTTCTTCTCAGTGTTTGCTAACCCCTGGTTTGAACAGTACAAAATTTTGAACAAAAACTGCAGCAGTGACTAGGTGTCCTGGAGCACACGCCTGAGGCCACCGCATGTCAGAGAATCCTGCAATGAGCAACAATCCTTAATGTAGGCAATAAATGTCTGTCAACATATTCTCTTAAGATTGTGATTCCACTTTTTTTTTCTTTTTCCTTGTATCCAAATTCTTCAGTTCATAGTAATAATCTGAAGGTCTGCTGGGCTAGGGCAGTTTGAGGGTCCAAATGAGGTGACCCGCATTATTTCTGGCCTCATCGCCTGTATCTTCATCATAGCAGAACTTCAATTTCATGATCATATCAGGTAAGATTTTGAGATTCTTTAGATTTTAAAATAGTATGGAGAAAATGAGAAACAGAATAGGGAGAGGCAAGAAGCCAAGGCACTGAACAGCCAAGAGATATTTGCAAGTAAGGCCTGTGATGACACCACTGAGGGGTCCAATGAAGATCACCCTTTCCTTGCCTAAAGGGTGAAACAAGACGAAATCACACAAAGAACTAAGACAGACAAGGCCTTTGCTGTCGATACGATAACCAGGTTGAGAGATGTGCTTTGTTTTTGCAGGCAAGTGCGCTTTCTAATTGCAAACTCCAGAAGTAGACTTCCGCCCCCTTGCAGGAGCCACATTGGACCAAACTAGGTCTGTCCATGAACAAATTCCTCTCCTGGAGGAGCAAAGGAAAATATGTGCCCGTGTGAAGGAGGCAGACCTGGTGACAATGCCCAGTTCATTCTTCCCAAACAGACCAGTCAGATTAATCCCAGCAGGAGAGGAAATCCCGAGGGCAGAGAGAAGCCAGGAGTGCTCTGTTCAGGGGGCTTTTTCTCCACAGAGGGCACAGCAGCCGTGGGAGGAAGCAGCCCCCAACTCCGCAGCCTGATTCAAGATCTTAGATGATGTCGCCGGGCTCACCCGACTCTTCTTCTTCCTCCATGTGGTCTCAGGGAGGCTCAGTGGATCAGGTGTGTCCTCATTCACATCCAGTAAGAAAGGGAGAAAGTCTTGTTCCCAGGAGCTCAAACAAAAGCCTTGGGTTTAATACCACGGGCAAGGTCTTCTAGGGACACCATAGCCAACACACACACACACACGCCATCCATCTCCCTGTGGGGACAGGGAGTTGGGGCATTTATCCAACAGTTCCAGTCAGTGTTGGCTCTGAGGGGACAGGGATTCTCTAGTACTGGGGGCCTGTGGCAGCTCCAGGGCAGAGTAAGCAACAGAGACAGAACACAGATAAAGGGGCACAGAGGCTGGCATCTAGAAGTTGAACTGGCACGCACAGAAAGTGCGAGACCTGAGAGATTTCTGGGCAGAGCACCGACAGGAGAGCTCTTTCATGTGTGAACCATGCACCGAGGTGCACGGCAGCCACACCCACTCTCCCCAAGATGGTGTCTTTGAAACAATAAATAGTTTTTTTGGCTTTTACTCTCCTTACTGAAGTACTGGAACGTCGTGTTTCAGGCGAAGCCCAGGTGGGGGTTCCCTCTGCCAACTGCCTGGGGTGGTGCTAACCTACAATGTCTCCATTTTTAACTGAGAATAACGGTACCTACTCCTTGAGGCAGTTGTAAAGATGGATGATGATCATGCATGTAAATTGCTTACCACAGTGCCTAACGTGAAGCAGGCATTCAAATAAATAGCAGCCATTAGCAGGCATGCCGGCAGGGGCAGTGGTGGTAATTTAATACTAGTCAACATTCAACACTTCTCTGACATTTTTGGCTATGGTGCCCACAAGGCAGTCATGATTATTCTTGGGGAGATTAAAAAGAGAAGGTGGAACATTTGTGCCCATTAATCTCTTGGATTTCTCAGCCAACATTGTGGGGGCTTTCTTTGAAGTTTTTTTAAAAGTTATTATATATTCACAGGAAGTTCCAAGGTCGTACCGAGAAATCCCCCATGTCCTTCCTCTAGTTTCTCCCAATGGTTACATCTTATCACATCATAGAGAAATATCACAACCAGGAAGCCAGCATTGGTACTCTGCGTTTGTGTGCGCATGTGTGTGTGCCCACGTGCCATGTCGTCACATGTGTACAATCGTGTAACCAGCACCACACTCAACACCTGGCACTGCTCCATCGCCAGAGGGCTCTGCTGGGCTGCCTCCCTCTACTCAGCCACAGCCGGGGTGCCCACTCCTGTCTCAAAGCTGGCTCAGGCTGACCCTTCCTGTTTGCCAGTTGTGAAAGCAAGGTGGGCAGGGGTGGGGTGAGAGAGCTCACTTTAAAAAATTCAAAGTAATGCCATAGAGTTCAGTAAAACATTATAAAAGGAATACAGCATCAATGAAATTGTGTTTAAAAAGATACAGATACACACGGGGTACAGTGTGCACTGCTCAGGTGAAGGGTGCCCCAAAATCTCAGAAATCACCACTAAAGAATTTATCCATGTAACCAAACAGCACCTGCTCCCTCAAAACCTATTGAAATAAAATAATAATAACAATAACCATAATAAGAGATGACTCTAAAGTTGGAAAGCAAAAACAAAAAAGGTAGAAATAGAACAATTAGATCATACAAATAAAAGATATTAAAAGGTAAGAACTTAGGGGTTAAACAAGATTTAAATCAATATGTAAATAACATTAGAAAAGCCAATTAGGTAAAAACCAAACAATGTTTGAAAGTCTTGAGCAAAAAATAGCTAAAGTCTGAACATATGCACATCCTATTATCCACTAACTCTTAGGCATATATCCAATAGAAACACGGTGACTCACACCTGTAATCCTAGCACTTTGGGAGGCCAAGATAAGTGGATCACCTGAGGTCAGGAGTTTGAGACCAGCTTGGACAACATGGTGAAACCCCATCTCTACTAAAAATATAAAAAGTTAGCTGGGCATGGTGGTGGGTGCCTGTAATCCCAGCTACTCAGAAGGCTGAGGCAGGAGAATTGCATGAACCCCGGAGACAGAGGTTGCAGTGAGCCAAGATTGCACCACTGCACTCCAGCCTGGGCAACAAGAGCGAAACTCCGTCTCAAAAAGAAGAAAAGAAAAGAAACAAAATACATGCATGTGTCCACCATTAGACAAATACACACGTGCTTGTTAGCAGCTATTGTTCTTAGAAGCTAAAAACTACCCAAAAGTACATTATCTGTACAATAGATAAATTGTGGTATATTTACACAATGGAATTCTATACAATCATGAAAGTGAACTATAACTACACACAACAACACAGATGTATTCAATGCAAGAAGCCAGAAACAAAAGAACACATACTGTATGGCTCCATTTCTAAAAATGCAACCAACAAGCTGTGTTAAGCTAGGATGTTAGAATCTGGACAGAGGCTGCCTTTGGAGGCTCTTCATCTATAAAGTGGAGGAATACGGGCAGCAGGCTACTGTTGGTCACCCAGTCACCCCTCAATTAGCTTAGATTTGCAGGACTGGGTGATTTCCGGCCCTTTTGTTTCTGTGATGTTTGTGGGGAAGTTGCTTTGGGGTTTTTTGTCCAGGAATTTCATCTCCTTTAACCCTCCATCTCCTCTTCTCCCTCAGGCCTTGCTGGAAAGTTTGAGGTTCTCGCTCTGTGTTTATTGTTCCCCTTTAGCAATACTCCCCCAAGTTGCCATTATGACCCGCTGATGGCACTGGTCCCCAGGAAGAGGCCGAATGGTCAAATGGTACACCGGGCATGCTGTCAGCCATTATCTCTGCCCCATTTCTGGTCTAGCATGCACCTTCCCTGTGTGTGTGTGTGTGTGTGTGTGTGTGTGTGTGTGTGTGTGTGACGGAATCTCTCACTCTGTCGCCTGGGCTGGAGTACAGTGGCGCGATCTAAGCTCACCGCAACTTCCGCCTCCTGGGTTCAAGCGATTCTCCTGCCTCAGCCTCCTGAGTAGCTGGGATTATGGGCACCCGCCACCATACCCGGCTAATTTTTTTGTATTATTAGTAGAGATGAGGTTTCACTGTGTTGGCTAGGCTGGTCTCAAACTCCTGACCTCGTGATCTGCCCACCTTGGCTGCCCAAAGTGCTGGGATTACAGGCATGAGCCACCATGCCCTGCACATGCACCTTCTCTAACCAACTATCAACCAGAGAAGGGGAGAAAGCATAGGTCTTGTTTGACCAGTCATGAGAACATGGGAGGCTCGATGACTTGGTGTGCAGAAAAGAGCTCGCACAGCCCGCCTGAACTGCTGTCCTTAGAAAGGCTGCCTGCAAGGCTGGCCATGGCTGGAGTTTGGGAACTTGGATGGTCAACAGCTCCCTACAGTGATGGAAAACATTTCCTGCATGTAAGAGGTCCTCAGTGTCTCTACACTGTCTGTATAGCAGTGAGGGTGTTGAACCCCTGCTCTCCTCTGGGAGTCTGGAATTTCAGCATGTGCCAGGCAGAGGCTGCCTTCGTGACCAGCTGCCAATAAAAACCCTGGCTGCCGAGTCTTAATGAGCTTCCTTGTGACACATACTGTCACAGCTCACATCTGGGGGAGCTGAGCGTGCTCTGTGTGACCGCACTGGGAGAGGACTTCGGAAGCTCCCGCCTGGTTTTCTCTGGACCTGGCCCCATGCACCTTTGGCCTTTGCTGGTTTCACCCTGTGTCCCATTGCTGTCATATCACAGCGATGAGCATGACTCTAGGCTGAGTCCTGTGAGCCCTCTAGTGAGTCACTCCATGTGCATTTTGTCTTGGGAATCTCAGACACACTCACAAAAATGTGTGTGAGTCGCAGTGTTGTATGTGTGCTGGGAAGAAATAGGGCTCCCCACACTAGGGTCAAAGCTCAGGGACATGCTAAATTCAGAAAAGCCATAGAGAGGTGGGGTGATGGAGAAAGAATGATGTTTCCCCAAAGATCATCAACCTTCTATTCAGATTGCACCAGCTGGGTGGGAGCGCTGGCTCACACCTCTAATCCCAACACTTTGGGAGACTGAGACATGATGATCACTTGAGCTCAGGAGTCCGTGACCAGCCCAGGCAACATAAGATGTTGTATCTACGAAAAAACTGTTTTAAAAAGTTAGTGGGGCCGGGCGCGGTGGCTGATGCCTGTAATCCCAGCACCTTGGGAGACCGAGGCGGGTGGATCACGAGGTCAAGAGATCGAGACCACCCTGGCCATCA